AGCTGATCTGCTGCTCCATCTGATTTACTGGTAAAACATTGTAGTCAACACCTCCTATCCCTTTACACCTGGCAATTACAAGACCTTGTGCCCTTCTTGCTGCTTAGGCAACAATTGTGGCCGTAATATTGTAGTCTAGAGAGTCATCCAGAAGTAGACCAGGTTAGCATATCTGTCAACTGTTCCAATAGGTAGATTACCGCCTTTATATGTTACTTGAGATCTCGGCACAGAAGAGCTGCGGAAGTGCAGAACTTTGGGTTTGTCGGCACTGATACCTGTATTATTAGTTTTACACCATGTAACTGCGTAGTTGAGAAGGCTTTGCAAGTCTTATTCTGTTACTGCTATCAGAACAATAACAACATACATTGACGTCATCGGATTTCGGTCAGATGATTGGCTGACCAACAGGGCTATAAACTTTGTCGTCGTTTCAAGTGATCAGTAATTTGCAAATATATATGTACAAGTTCTGGTGAATTAAAAACGGTCCCAATCCAAACACATGTAAATGTCTCAGGTGTCCCATTAATTCATTCTTCTTTCCATCGTGACATGGAAACCAGAACTCAGAGTGCACACATACTACCCTCACAGGGGTACACACTTTCAAATGTACCCAGTGGTGACATGAAGGGTGCGTCACTAGGCCCACGACACAAACACAATGGACGCACATACTCGGAGTTCTTCGAATTCGAATTTTGGGGCACTGGCAGCATCGTTCATCTGAGTCGACTTCGTCGTTCGAATCAGAATCAGAAGATTCGATGTCGGGACGAAGCGAGAGTTGGCGATGTGCTTCGCTTGGGGTCAATAATTTTCTTTAGAATCAAGTTCTCCGTAATTACCTTGCCCCCAACGATTGCACTGATGACTTTCCTGTTCATTGTCGGCTGTGATTCCGTCATTAGAACATTTTGTTTTCTACAGAAGAATGCCACACTGTCTTCATTTATAACTGAATGTTCTTTACAGTCCTGTTTTCAGTCTTTTACCTCCTTCATCCCACCAATTGACGATTACTCATCTTGAAACACAGTTGAAGGGGTAAAGTAAATTCGGGCCATAGCAGCAAGGGTGTTTAAAGGATTAATGCCACATGAAAGAGGCCTGGAGATGCGCTTGAGTCAATGATACTGAATAGGCTGGACAGGCCAAATGACACACTGAATGTCTGCTCACTGAGCCGGTAGCATAGTCGCACATGAACTTGTGTCTAATGTTGCAAACCCTGCAAAACGGACGAAAACATCCGACATCCATAGGTTACAAGATGTGAGATGTGTGTGCTGGCAAGACAAACAGAATAATTTCATGTTAAATGAGAATGGGTCGGTCAGTAGACGCGGCGACAGCGTGTTTCAGAAAATAGTGCTCCAGGTAATAACGAAAAACTTCGGAATTTGACCATCCGGAATCAGAGACTGTTTCAGCCGCTCCAGGTGACGAACCCTCCATAAGCTCCTCACGCATTTATTTTGCCCTGAAAACCAAAAATGGTGGTATCGGTGTCCCTACAGCGCTACCACATCCGAGTATGGTCCTGGAATTTGACTTGGAATTGGTGACTTGGAATTGGTGACGGCATACAGTATGCGGCGAGGTATTTGGATGACACAATGCAAGGTTGCTGTGATGTTCCACTACTCCCTTTTCATCTACGTTATAGATGCAATTTGGACTGTCTTTCAAGTCGTACAAGGATTCTTCCAAGTTCATGGAAGTTGTGGCCGACTGTCTCCTTTGACGAAGTCTTGGCGCGCGGAAGTTCAAGGGAACGCGGTTTTTGAACTTTTAGATCTGGCCAACGCATGATGAAATTATACAATCACTACGTGGACAAAGGCTTTTCTTCTTTGAATCGCTTGCCAAGATGAATAGCTAAATCAGTGACAAGAGTGGCTACTTACATACGTGAATATCCGTATCCCAAATCGGCCGTGGCTTGAACTTGGATGACTAAATGTCTTTCCGTCTCAATTGATAGCAGAGGTGTAGGGCCGGTTTCAGTTGTCTATTCCGATATCTCCACTGGTGGGATCAGGTAACATAGCAAACGGAGCAGAGAAAGATAGTACAGCCTTCCTCACCGACATTCCATAAAGCATAGTTTTATAAGCCATATCTAACGTCTGAGAAATATTGACGGTATTTCTTTCTCTCAGTCGGCTGACTCGATTATTTACAAACCGCCGCCATGTAGCCGGAATATTGCTGAGTGCGGCGTTAAACAACAAACAAACAAACACTGGATTGTCTAGTCCAGACTCAATTATTTGCAGACCACCGTCAAAGGGATGGAATAGTGCTGAGTGTGGCGTTGAACAGTAAACAAAACAAAAAAGTGTTTGCCAATCAGCAACTATTTAAGAGTCCCAGTTACAGGCATTTAAAGAGCAGTTGTGTTAATTGTCCAACCCGTCAGCAGGTGACTGTGTCGAGATGGTGGTTAGCAAAATGTAAAGACTATTCAAAGAAATGATCACTGTTTACTGCAGCCAATCAAATCTTTCACGTCAAGACAACGCTACTTTAAGATTGAATATGTGTTGCAAACATAGGGTTGCTGTATTTCCTTCTTTTTAAGTTTGACTAAGGAGATAAATATTTTCTCCTAGTCGCTGTACGCTAGATGTCGTAGTTAAGGGTATATTAGGTGTCTGTGAGTGTAAAGTTTTCTCTCCCGTGTCCTCTGCTGTTATGATAGTGTATGAATAGAACCTGCTTGGGGTATAACTATCAGTTATTTGATAGGTAGCTAAAGACGAATTTAAAACGCTTTTGGTTCATCCTTGGCCATTCCTGAAGAGACTCATTGATCATTGGTGCGATTTATGTTTGATACAATTTTCGGCTTCAAGTGTATTTGTGTTTTTAACACTCCGGAATTATTGTTGCATTCGTTGAGAGAACACGGTTACAGACTTGGATCAGGAGTTGAGGATCCTGCTTGACTGTGTTGATTTTACCATCACAAGGAATAAATATTTCAAAGTTTCAACCATCAAGGATCTTTTTAATCAGATAAGTTCTCATTTAATTCTTGTTGTTTTTAAAGGAAATTGAATTGAAAAAATTTGATTGCTTTATTGTGTAAATAAATAAATAAATAAATAAATAAATAAATAAATAAGTAAATAAGTAAATAAATAAATAAATAAATCAATCAATTGGTAGTATAAATCAGTAGCTGAGATTGTTAGTGGCTGTATCCTTGAATGGGCTTAAAGTGTAAAATTGTTGCCCCCCTGGGGCCCTATGTAAGAACACTTCATTCTAAGTAATTTATCTATCAATGTTTTAACCGCAGAATATTTGTATATTTTAATGTTCGGCTAATCTCATCAACAATCGCCAATGACTAGAGGGATGGTGTAAATCCCCCTGGGGAACCGTGGAGGTAGCAAAGGTACTGTAAGTCCCCATGGTCCCTGATATGATGGCCTAACTTTAGATGTTGGTGATCTCTAGCCTGTTTTTATTATGTGTCGTATGTCATAATCTGATCATTTTATTGTTCTAAAACTTGTTTTAAATTATAATCTGTCATATATTGCTAGTTGTTGTACTGTCATTCGACGACGGTTTTTTTTATATATAGTATAACTGCATAACTTGTTCAAGTCACAATATAGCTGAAATAGTGCCGATTTGACTTTAAGTATTAACTCACTCACTCACTTAGACTTCTGGAAACAGTAAGGTGTATGGATGGTTTTGTTTTCGTTGATGACAGTGATGTGCCTGTGGGGAATAGGAATTTTGTTGATGTAATAAATTAGGCAGTGTAGCGCAGTGTGTTTCACTGTTAAATGTGTTGTGATTAAGTGTAACGGTTGAGTGTAAGGGAAAATGACATGTTATTTGTCACATTTTCTTTTCCGTGTTCTCAATCTGCTGCTCCAGCTATCACTACCATAACTATCCCTCGTGCCAGTGTTCTCAGTATGCTGCTGTCGGTATCACTATCATATCTGACCGCCTCCGTGGAACCAAGCCTTTCAAACAAAGTAGGAGTAAAGTTATATCCATTCTACCATGGCGGCAAGAGCCCTCTTGGTGCTCTCTTGGAACGCATAATTAAACATAGGTACAAATGTCTTTTAACATTAGAACACCTATCTTCGAAATTCCAAAAGGGGGCACGGGTAGTTACATATAGTATTTAATTTAGCTATTCATTATACTAGATCAAAATGAGGCATCAAAATACATAGTTTTTCATACAGAAGTTGACAAACAACCCTTTCGAGTCCAATGTCAGTTTTTTCCTTAAGATCTGAATTTAGAACCTCTGGCACCCAACGAAAATGTAAATGTTTATGGATAATAGTTTTAATAGATACTTGGCTTGGACTTGTTAGACAGTACAAGCTTTCAGACCTTTGGTCATCATCGAGGCTTGTTCTCCCAGCCTTAACTATGCTGCCGAGCGTTTAACAGTGTAATTACAAGGGCACTTGTCCCCATACATTTGTGACATGCGGCCATGAATTTCTTCGGAAGTGCTTTTCTCTAAAGTCAAAAACATGATGACTGCTCGGTACTCGTTATTTTCCATTTCTAGATCTGTGTCCATTTGGAACCAGGTCACGTTCAACTGGGTGTCACTTATATACGAACGGTCTCAACAGACCTAATACACTTGCTACATGATATCAATAAACTTTGGTCATCACGTGCGTCAAGGGACCAGTGCAATGCGATTGCCCGTAAACATTTGTACAAGGCGGGGCAAAAAGCATCTATTTTACACTTTAAAAACTCGACGCTTTTCCGGACACATTCTGGACGCTCACCAATCAATCAATTTCAATCAAATTTAGTCGTATTTCCGTCAAATGACCACAAACGGTAAAAAACGATGTTTTCGTGTTTGCAGTGTTGCGGAACTGCTAACATAGCTCAACAAGACACATGTTCTTTTCACGTCTTTATATAAATAACCACATAGCGAAATATATTAATGGCAGTATATAGCAGAATGGAAACATGAAAGAGGAAGTTGTAGAAATTGATATTGATTATACTGTGATGAATGCACGAATAGATTAACAGATATTTACTATCTTTGTTGTTGATATGTCAGCACTATGTATCCCGCGCTACCATTCATATATCTTGAAGAAGTTCCTCCAGCCCGACTCCAATAGCTTGGTGTACACAGCACTATGTATCCCGCGCTACCATTCATATATCTTGAAGGAGTTCCTCCAGCCCGACTCCAATAGCTTGGTGTACACAGCACTATGTATCCCGCGCTACCATTTATATATCCTGAAGGAGTTCCTCCAGCCTGACTCCAATAGCGATGTGTACACAGCACTATGTATCCCGCGCTATCATTTATATATCCTGAAGGGGTTCCTCCAGCCCGACTCCTCCACAGGAATGAAAAAATGAACGAGGATGTTGTATAAAATTGATATTTATTATACTGTGATGAATGCACGAATAGATTAGCAGATATTTACTATCTTTGTTGTTGATATGTCAGCACTATGTATCCCGCGCTACCATTTATATATCTTGAAGAAGTTCCTCCAGCCCGACTCCAATAGCTTGGTGTACACAGCACTATGTATCCCGCGCTACCATTTATATATCCTTAAGGGGTTCCTCCAGCCCGGCTCCAATAGCTTCGTGTACACAACACTTTGTATCCCGCGCTACCATTTATATATCCTGAAGGAGTTCCTCCAGCCTGACTCCAATAGCGATGTGTACACAGCACTTTGTATCCCGCGCTACCATTTATATATCCTGAAGGAGTTCCACCAGCCCGACTCCAATAGCGATGTGTACACAGCACTTTGTATCCCGCGCTACTATTTATACATCCTGAAGGGGTTCCTCCAGCCCGACTCCAATAGATTCGTGTACACAGCACTATGTATCCCGCGCTACCATTTATATATCCTGAAGGAGTTCATCCAGCCCGACTCCAATAGCTTCGTGTACACAACACTATGTATCCCGCGCTACTATTTATATATCCTGAAGGGGTTCCTCCAGCCCGACTCCAATAGATTCGTGTACACAGCACTATGTATCCCGCGCTACTATTTATATATCCTGAAGGGGTTCCTCCAGCCTGACTCCAATAGCTTAGTATACACAGCACTATGTATCCCGCACTACTATCTATATATCCTGAAGGAGTTCCTCCAGCCCGACTCCAATAGCTTGGTGTACACAACACTTTGTATCCCGCGCTACCATTTATATATCCTGAAGGAGTTCCTCCAGCCCGATTCCTCCACAGGCTTGGTGTACTGTGCACGGTGCCTGCTGGAGATTGGCCCCCACGTGGAGTCAGGTCTCAAGCAGGATCGTACTCGCTGTGAAATAAAACAAGACACAGTAGGATTGGCGTGAACCAATGACAGTATATTTAAATTTGACAAAGGTGCGTGTTATTTTCTTGTCACACGAAACATGTCACATAAAATTTATAGACAGAATTTTGTGATCTTGACTCAGTTTCGACAGGTTCTTAAAGGGGTATAGTAACTCCATATAGAACTAACTGTCTTTTTTAGGTTGGTATACAATGCCAGTTAAGGGGAGTCACAGGCTTAGTAGAAGAATGCGTGTTAGGCCCTGAAAGGTATGACGATATGTATAATGCAAGTCGTAAACACGTGGGTCTCACATGTATTTAAGTTTTGTGGGTATTAGTGTTATATACTGGAAGATTTAAGAGAAACTGATCACATTTGCTTAATTATGAATGTAACATGCCTTACCTCAAGAAGCGTTCCCTTTTCCTTCACTAGTTCTTGTATCATGCAAATTGGCACCGGTACTATGGACACCAGTCCAAGGAATAACCCAATAGCAACGCCATATGTCGGGTACACATAGTCACCATAAGTCGGGGAGTCGTAGTGAACGATCGTCAATATGAAACACATCTGAAACAAAATTAACATTGTACGTGACACATATTTTACTAATGTCACAGCTTAATGATGGAAGAATGCCCGGAGTTAGACGTTTTCCACATTAGTGAGATTATCCAAATAACACGTATCTGTTAATGCCATATGTAAGTTAGTTACGCGAAAAATTGCAAAGAACAATGAAGAACGAAGCGTGGTTTATTTCACTATGAAAGAACGTGCGCTCGCAACTTTACGTCGTTTATTATATACTAATGTGTGAAAGCTTTCCGAAAAGTGATATTTCCATTGCAGTGAACATAACAATTGATATTTCACTGCAATGATTATAACACTTGATATTTCACTGCTGTGAAAATAACACTTTGACGGAACTATTGTCATACAAGAGTGACCTCCCCTCAAATTGTCTCGCTTTATCGTACGTGTCTGTTACCTTCTTTTTTACACTAGTTCCATATTGAAAAGAGGGACAAGTGGTCATTTATGGAGTTAATATCGCTTCAGGCTGTTTGATATTCTCTTGAAAATGCTTCGTTTCACACTGCAAGTGTCTCACTTAACTCGTCAATCGAGACTGTTCGTTTCGGAAAGCGCCATTTTTGTTACTTGATCATGTATTCTTTCGCTTCAAATAGCGGTTTAGTAGTTTTGAACTATATTTTCTGTTAAAGTTGATTATGTATATAATTATATCTACATGAATGATAAAGAATGTTCGTGCCCTTAAATAACTTTTGTTACTTTTGTTTATATTTTTGTTAGATTTTGCAAATACGAAACTATTTTTTTAGTCGCAAATACAAGGGGTGGTGAACCGTCCCTGTGTGTTAGATAGGGAGAATTTACGTTTCAAGTTTTTTTTATTTGTAATGAAATAATAAAATGTCCGGTAGACAACTACTCAAAAAGAATATAATAAATAGGATATTCCATGTGTCTCGTGAAATATCGTTTCTCTCATCGGGTGACGGGAAAAAAGGAGATATTTTACGAGTGACGTAGTGACACATGTAATATCTTCAATATAATGGACGACGTTATTTTTGAGGGGGAAGTGTCTAGTGAGTTGATCCAAACAGATGTAGCTGGGCTAAGCCGATAAACGCAGTGACCGAACGATCGCATCCAAATGTTGAAGAGATATGACACTGGGTGTTGGAAAAAGGGGTGTGATAATCGACGTGAGGATTGTGAAGATATGCGGGAGATACCAAACTTAACCCGCCTTTACATAAAATGGACAATGACGAAGTCGGATTCTATTTCGAGGGTCATCATTATTAAAAGACGCGTAAAAAATTTAAAGCTTGTACATTTCATCATTATCCTTAAATAGGCTGTACATTATGTTGATATTTCATATAAGAAATAAACGACTCGTGGTTGTTGTCTATCGTACAATAACACACTGCAGGGATAATAAACCACTATCATATATAAGCAAAACGCAGAACACAAATAGAAATAAATCCATCGACTTACAGCCATAAGAACTGGAGATACAAAACACCACAGAGTCTTCATAAACACAGGGGGTCTCCGTCCAAGCATCATCTCGATGTCGCCACTGAACCGGTCAGCACCTGGTACATTATCATGAGACAACAACATGGGAGGAGGTGAGTGAGTGAATGGTGACCAAGGCCTCAGACAGCAATATCACTCTATCGAGTGCTCCAGGCTTACCAGGATCTTCAAAACAGGTCATCGGGACACGATGTAATCAGTTTGAAAACCCAATCAGAATATAGTCGCTTCTTACGACAAGCAATGGAGTACTGGAGACGGATCTAACACAGACGTAACAAGCATGTACATAGGTGTCCTGCATACAACACAGAGGAACAGGTGGGCCAAGCATTGCATCTGTGTGCTATGGATTAAAATACGATATCAAGGTAGGCTTACTTGTCTTGCTTGACAACAGTATAAGGATATATACCGAAACGTCGCTTTTTACAGTATTAAAGAAGTTATCCATAAAATTGTGTCTACCTTGTCATCCGTCAACTTCTAATCAATGCTTATCAAACAATTAAAATACGATATGTCCAGTGGCATAATGTTACACAACGTTATTATAAGACAGAGAGTATACATTTGAAAACTGGATGTGACCAAAACATTACAAACGTTATCAATGTTACTAGTCTTTGCTTGATCCGGTCGCTGGAACACTTCAAACGTAAGGTCTAAAAACACATTTATGAACCCGTATAAAATACATCACTATCGAATAACCGTAAATGTTTAAATTTTAGCCACCATCAAACGTACAAGTTATCTGATATGTAAACCTGACATACCGTATATCCAGCCGACGATGACACACTCCATGATCCCCACCAACAGGAGGCTGAAGGTCCCAACATACCAGTCGATCAGCATGAACACGTATATACCGCCCTTTAAAATAACAGAATACATATTACAAACGAAATACATGAAACAAATGACGCGGGCGGCTTACATTAAAAATTAAATCCAATAAAAATTTAAACAGTAAAATTCGAAAAAGAGTTTTGTTTCGTTCTTTGCATTTTTTCAAAAATATGGATTTGAGAATTGTGGTTTGAAATAGATGCATACCATCTTTCAAGACACATCAATTTATATAATTGTAATTGTGTATCTTTGTTTTCTCTCACACATAGCGAGGTAAGATTGCAAATATTTAAAGTAATTAGTGGTAATTACATTGTTAAATCTATAGAGTAATAAACTCCAACGTGCAAATTAGCAAATCTGATGCGGCTTATAAAGTCACTAAATCGAACACGTTACAGTAGTCTGTCAACCATCATTTTGGCACTCGTTCGTTGACAATTATTTTCCATTAAACATACAATCACGCGAATAATCGTTGACCTAACAAGAAATACCAGTTTCAGAATATGACATATCCTAATAAGAATAATTTGATGTACATTGTGATCATGTACATATAGTGTGCGTGTGATTAAAATGAGTTTTGAAATGAAATATGATTTAAACTACCGTTATATGAAAATGTAATATTATACTAGAATTGTTGAAAAAAAACCACCTTCCGTGCAGCAGAAAGTAACATCCGATGCGCTGTCGTTGACACATCCGTGTATGTGGCATCATAGTATTTAAATCAATAACGATAGGTTTTTTTTGTTGGTTTTTTGTTTAACGCGGCACTCAGCAATATTCAAGCTATACGACGGCGATCTGTAAAAAATAGAGTCTGGACCAAACAATCCAGTGATTGACATCATGAGCATCGATCCATGCAATTGGGAGACCAAGCCAGTGAGCCTGACCACGCGATCCAAATAGTCGCTTCTTACGACAAGCATAGTCGCTTTCTACGGCAAGCATGGGTTGCCGAAGATCTAGACCTATTCTAACCCCGATCTTCACGGGTCAATAACGATAGGTGGAATGACAACTCACAATACCCGCTTATCAAAACTATCTCGCTTTTCTTTCATCTTGGGATCTGGGATGGCCTTTTCTGGTTCTTTGAACTTTTGTCATGGTAGATAATTCGGAATAAAGTCCTTCGAGATATGCTAGTTGTATGCACTGTTTTCTGTGTGACACGTATAGGGCCACCATGATCTGTCTACAGACGTCTCGGGGCGGTCGGGTAGCCTAGTGGTTAAAGCGTTCGCTCGTCACGCCGAAGACCCGGGTTCGATTCCCGACATGGGTACAATGTGTGAAGCCCATTTCTGGCGTCCCCCGCCGTGATATTGCTGGAATATTGCTAAAAGCGGCGTAAAACCATACTCACTCACCCACTCGCAGACGTCTGTGAAAGTTGTAGGATATATCTTATCTATAATGTACACCAAATCGCCCTAAGTATATTGTGCACAGTGTGTTGTGCATATATGAGTAAATCATTGATTTGGGTTTAACGCCGCTTTCAACGTTAATTCAGTCAAATCATTTCAGTGAAAATCAGGCGAATCTTGAATTGGGACCCGCGAACATACGTTTCTTGCACGTCAAGGTGACGCAGCTAAGTGGCGTAATTTGCGGCGCCTAATTCGTTCAGGATAGGCTACCTATTGTAAAGATGTAGATATGACAATACCACAATTACCACCCTGAACACTCGGACTAGTGTATGAAGGTTTTCGGCCCAGTCAAATGTTGAATTAGGATATCTATTACCTCACACGGAAGTCCATGATTCCCAGTGAGGTGGTCTAGCTTTGGTTGCTTGTGGTCTATAGCCTGGTTTTAATTCATATGAACTAATCTACTGCAAATTCTTTGTTTTATTATTGCTAAGGTTTGTTTTATATCTAAACTGTGATATTTACCTTACTGTTTTACTGTCCTTAGGCGACAGGTCTTTAATTATAGTACCTACCTTGTTCTCATCGCGATATGGCTGCAATACTGCCGATGCGATGTAAAATTTTAACTCACTCACTCACTCACTCACTCACACGGAAGTGGTAGCAATGCAGTTGAATACCTGTGTAGCAAGGACGAGACCAACAGTGAAAGAGAAAGCACAGATCAGTCCTGTCACCAAGCCTCGTCGTCGATTGAGTTGATGGGGAAATGTGTCTATTATTGCTGTCACTGCCGTTTCAACTGTGGCGAACTAGAAATACAAACACACAACACATAGAGAAGATGGCGGGACACTATACCCTGGCGAATTTAAGTCCCATTACAAACAGGAGTTTTACGAGGCTACATTTACGAGGCTACAAACGAGTAAATGAAGAAGGCTTACCTCGGAGTCAACTCCCACAGTGACTAGCATGATGAAGAAAATGGCTGCCCACAACTGAGGCAACGGAAGCTGTGCAAGGGCTTCTGGGTAAGCCACAAAGCCAAGACCAGGACCTACATTAAATACAAACAAACCATTAAATAATGAAGACTCATTCAATGGAATATCAGAATTGATGTCGAATTTCTCATTTAAACCTACATATTCTGCTTTTGACTGTCCTATTGGTGTACCTTGTGGTGTTCTCACCTGCTTTGATGACCTCTGACACGTGAACCCCTTTGTTCTCTGCCATGAATCCCAGGATGGCGAAGATGGCGAAGCCTGCGTAGAAACTAGTGCCCTCGCTGAGGAACGTGATTATAACAGCATCCCTGCAAGTTGATTCAGACACGTTTAATGACTACATTGTACTTATACTCTCAAACATATAGGCATTATAGTGCATACTGAAAGTTATTATTACATAACGAGTATTCTGTATAGAACTGCATATGAAGCTGTACATGGATTGAAAAGTGTTAAATATAGGTGTGTGTATGACGTTCGTAAGCACCTGTAGCAGTTGTTGGAGAACCTGTTGTAGCTGGCCATGGTGTGTAGGCCGCCCCAGGTGACGCCGAGAGAGTAGAACATTTGCAGCATCGCCTCGAGCCACACCTGAAGAGCAACTATTTACAGTTATAACTAGACTACATCGCAAAACTTCAGGGAATGTCGGTGGATGGAGGAAGCCAGAAGGAAAAAAGATCCACAAATGATAACGCGGATGAAAGATACATGGATGCTTTGCCCCCTCAATGAAATTTTTGAAATTGTCTCAAATAATTAATGTTACTATTAATCGTACATGACTGCATTAACTGTGTTAATACTTGAACGTTGTTGTTGTTGTTTTATTTATTTTATAAATTTGATGGATTTATTTTTGGCACATTATTGATAAATGAAAGCATACAAAGAGAGCCTTCATTTTATAAGCAGCCTGACACATTTAAAACAAGAACAAAACAATTCATAATATCCGTTCTGTGGCATTTTGAAGGTAAATACATTTTTAACAAGAGTTATTAATGAGAAGGCGATAATGACGATGAAGACGCTCACCTGGAAGTCAGCCAGTCGACTGAAGTCTGGCTTGACGTAGTAGATGATGCCTTGTAGAGCTCCAGGCAGTGTCACGGCACGCACGAGGATCAGTGTGAGGAGAATATAGGGCAGGGGAGCCGTAACATACACCACCTGGAAATATTCAAAGAGTTATCAATGACAGACAGCCCTTTGACACATGACCAACACAGGGTAGTGTGTATCAAATAGTCGCGCTAACAGACAGGATTTAGTATATTCAAGACACAAACCTTTTGCCGTCGTGTTGCATTTGTGTGGAGTGGAGATGGTACCTGCAGTCTTGACTATTTTATTTCTCGTACATATTTTGGTGGTGCTCCTGTTTTGTCACATTTCATTTCTGATACACATTGTTGCCAATGTTGTCACTGGACGGCAGTACATACCGGATTGTCTTGTATATGGCCGTCATATGTAATCTATAATCTGCTATCTGCATGGTGAATATCTGCATTCTGTAATTAAAAATATAATCTGCTACCCTTGCATTATGTGTTTTTGCCAACAAAAGCTCAAAATTGACCGCCTATATTCCCAAACAGAATCTGTTCTCCCAACTGACCATCTAAATTCCCTCAAAGAATCTGCTCTCCCACTTGACAACATGTATTCCACAATAGAATCTGTTCTCCTAATTGACCATCTGTATTCCCCAACAGAATCTGTTCTCCTAATTGACCATCTGTATTCCCCAACAGAATCTGTTCTCCCCATTGACCATCTGTATTCCACCACAGAATCTGTTATCCTAATAGACCATCTATATTCCCCAACAGAATCTGTTCTCCCAATTGACCATCTGTATTCCCCAACAGAATCTGTTCTCGAAAGTGACCATCTGTATTCCCCAACAGAATCTGTTCTCCGAATTGACCATCTGTGTTCCACAAAAGAATCTGTTCTCCTAAATGACCATCTATATTCCCCCAAAGAATCTGCTCTCCCAATTGAGCATATGTATTCATGAACAGAATCTGTTCGCCCAATTGACCATCTGTATTTCAAAACAGAAACTGTTCTCCTAAATGACCATCTATATTCCGATCTCTAGATCACTCGTTTCATAAACACATAGCAGCATTACACAAAGTGTAATACCAAAGCGCGTGCTTATGTACTGCAGGAACAAGTTTCACTGACAAATATTGAAAACTCCCAACATCCCTATTTTGTTTCAATGGCATTGTGTGGAGAGGTGATAGATCACTGAGAGGAGCTTATGTACACTCCATGGCCCCAGCAACCCTGTTGCTAGGCTGACGTCACATGGCATTGTTTTGCTTTATGTTGACGCCCTGGTTCAGTGCTGTGCCCACAAAGGGTATGGAAGCCAGTGTACAAATGAGAGAACCACACTTGTTATTAAGCATATGATTACCACTCAACATTTTCTAGGAAGCATTAAACACCTGCGTAGGCTATGTAAAATCCAAAGTTATAAATAGATGAGTCACCTTCCGGTCACAGTAGGGACAAGAATTAATACAGGATGACACCCCATCAGGAGCCCCCACTGGCTGTAGAGGGCATTTCATATGTCTGAAGCGTTAAGAATGTGGATTTTCCTTATTTTGACAAATTGCACAATAAACATATGTCAAAATGTTGTGCAAAACACTTTTCAGCAACTCACATAGTTTACAAATTGCTTCATTATCATGCTCTCCACGCTACTTTTCATCACATGACGTCTTTGGGTAAATTCCTTATAAAATGTGACCCTGAGTTTCAACAAAGTAATTTTTATCTTGTTTAGATCTCCAATAACACCCACAGCGAAGCTATGAAAGCTCGGTGTTTTGTCGGCTATACGGTTCGCGTGACAGTTGGCTATTCACCCAGACGTGATATATGGCTGGTTGCTTTTCAAAGAGGTGAGGTGAAATGGGGTTTAACGTCGCGTCCAAGATTATTCCACTTACATAGCGATGTGCATTACGTGTATGTGTGTGTGTATGGTTGATTGTACTGGACGGGACTGATGCCGATTTATAGTGGTAGCACACTGAGATACCATGCCGCAGTTTAACATGAATACCCCACTCAGACACAGTATACTGACTCCGAACCGACCAGTCCTTGTTTTAGCCTTTTGGTATGAAGCGGTAGGGGACCTTCCGCTCTCCGGGCGGACGCTCTACCACTAGACCACAGAGGCGGTCCGCTTTTTAAAAAAGGAAGGAAGATTCAGTAAGATATGGGGATATAAAGCCTAGGCAGGTCCGGTCGTCGTCTCCTGGTACCGCTCGAACCTATGTCAATCCATGATGGTGTTGGATTCCTGCCGGTGACAGGACCGCGAGAAAATGACAAATGATGCATTCATGGTATTATTCACGTGATAATGTATACCTTCATGGATGGCTGCCCTTGTATACCGACATAACTCGACATGATTGTATAATGGAAGCTCAGGAGTGCGTGCTTCAGATTCAAATGTTGTATCTGAAGTGATTCCTAAGAAATGTTGAGTAGTGGATTCAGGTGGGAAGTGACTAGCCCCAACTATATGAGCGTTGCTACTTGAGGAGTTATGCAGAAAGGTTCAATGTCATCATTTACAACAGCGCTGTGTACATAGACGCGATTGTAGGACGTGACTGCAGCTATATAGAAAGAAATAGTCACATGTGTGACTTCACTGGTTACCACTGGACAATATAATTACGCGCAAATCGAAATCTGAACATTTGTACCTTCTGCTTGAACCCCTTCGTCTGAATTATTGTCTAACCTTTCCGACAGATTTGACACCTTTTATCAAACAGAGAAAAATAAGGACCCATGCAGCAAACAATGCGAGAGCCAAATGCCACTGTATTCCTCCCATGTCGTGCAGCCCAGCAGAAACACGCAATGCATTGTACCTGCAACAGTTTGCTTAGATCATACAGCTGAAACATAAGGGTAACATCACAGACATGTTGAACATGGATTATAGAAAGAGAGCCTTGAAATCTGTCATGATCAAAACAAAACAAAAATCATCCGCCTATAGTTGGAAGTTAATGATGCCAAGCATATCTATCTCCACCGCAATCACATCTTGAAAACACATACAGTACAGGGGGTGACCATTTCATTTTCTTGGGATTAGGAATTTTCCTTTGTTTATACCCAAAACCGGATCGTTCACTAGATACTGGATGTTTTGAAAACAATTGTTGTGGGAAACAAATTGGTATGTTTTGAGAAAATGCCGGACCAAAATCTATCGCATCCTGGAATTGATATATACTAACGCCCTGTTGACACATACACGTCCATTACATTTATGGGGCGGTCGGGTAGCCGAGTGGTTAAAGCGTTCGCTCGTCACGCCGAAGACCCGGGTTCGATTCCAAACATGGGTACAAAGTGTGAAGCCCATTTCTGGTGTCCCCCGCCGTGATATTGCTGGAATATTGCTAAACGCGGCGTTAAACCATACCCATTCACTCAATACATTTACACTGCTTTCAGTTCATGACTAGTTGTACTTACTGCCAGAACTCCTCTGCTGCTGACCGTGAGACGGTTGAGAGGCTGTCGTTGGTGTAGTGTGTGCTGACGTTCCCATACGTTGTGTGAGCATCAGTGTAGCTGACGTTGTACACAACACTGACATTGCCTGTCGTTACATTGCCGTCGTCTTGGGGCGTGTCAAAGGTTGTACATGCTGGCGTGTTCCACCAGTTGGAGCAGGTGGTCCAGGGTAGGACAGGATAGAAGGACATCACCAGGTAGTACAGGCACCAGGCAATGATCAGGTTGAAGTAGAAGGCACAGATAAAGGACGCCATACTCATCACATAACCCAGGCCTGGAGATGGTAAAGCAACCTTTTACCATTGATTGCATGTGACGTCAGGAGAGTATACTTGAACATTACAGACAGACAGACAAATTTATTCGGCACTTCAGGCCACCGGACCATAATACAATGGAAATATACTGTATATATATTTGCATGCTGAGTAGATTTAATAATGATTCGCTGTTCAACACTGTGTTTCCGTTCGATATATGGTCGGTTAAACATACACATTGAAGTGTCACATGCTAAATTACACTGCTCATATATGTTCTCCAGCTATTAATGGCTACATTTAGATGAGATTTTTCAATGTATTTTGCAATCCCCCTTTACAAGTTTCCTTATGCAAATAAAAGCGACAAAAACCTTATGTTTCATAATTTAACAAATCTTCAGATTCCACTGAACGATTCCAACTATATCATGAGCACAATGCAACAACAAATCATTTCAATATGTATAGCCAAATGTCCATTAATGTACCAATTCTACGAATTACCTTTGAACAACGGGCAAATGCTCCAGACCTGCACTGCTCCACGTCCAGAGAACTGACCAATGGCTATCTCCATGAAGAACAGCGGCAGGCCAATCAGAACAAGACAGGTCAGATATGGAATCAGGAACGCCCCTATTGTAGACAAAGATCTCTGAGTACCTCTATCCAGATTGCAACATATCATATTATATGATAACTTGCTTCAACTATTATATCTATATAATGCACAGGGCATTGTTCCAAACGACACGCATATAAATGGTTCAAAGACCCGAGGTACATACTAAGATCATAAAACATATTAAGACGTTCAGCCTTTTCACATCTAGATAGGCTTCTATCTAAGGATATTATGTAAATATGTACACCCAATTGTGTACATATGCCCAATTTTATATAAACACCGAACTCATCGTGTTCTGATATCACATTTTGTACATGTCATGCATTGGAATCTACCTGACAAGACTTTGACACACACACACGCACGCACGCACGCACGCACGCAAGCACGCTCGCACGCACGCGCACACACAAACAAACACACACACACGCACGCACGCACGCACGCATACACACACACAAACAAGCACACGCACAAACACAAACATGCACGCACACACATGCAATAATAAGCGCACACACATAAACATACAAACATACAAATACATACCCATACACACACATACACCCAGACACACACACGCATACACACAAATAAGAACTACTGTCTGTGTAATTATCGAACTATATTACATAGCATATCTGGTAAACCTTATCACTAGCGTCCTCCCGGAATGCGGAAGGCCCGGGTTCGATCCCCGGCCGCGTCATACCAAAAGACGTTAAAAGATGGTACTTGTTGTTACCCTGTCTGGCGCTCGGCATTAAGGGGCTAAAACAAGGACTGGTCGGCTCGAAGTCAGTACACTGAGTCTGAGTTGGGTATTCATGTTAAACTGCGGCATGGTATTTCAGTGTGCTAGCACTATAAATCGGCAACAGTCCGGACTAGTACAAGCAGCCACACACACACGCGCAGGCGCGCAAGAACACACACACACGTCGCTAAGTGCAATAATCTTGGACGCGACGTTAAAGCCCATTTCTCTTCACCTCACCTAATCGATGACTCATGTACAGCATATCTAGGCGTTGGAATAGACGGAACTACAGTTTGTAGTAAAGTAAAGATGCCGATTCCGCTGTACAGTCTCTGCTATTCGACATGGTCCGTCAAGGATTCGGAACCCAACATACACCTGCTTGCGCCAAGTTGAAACTCATAGGCACATAAATCCAAATTTTGTTGACTGGGTAATATTTATGATCTTTTGGTCATATAATAATATTAATGCAAAATAGTTGTTGCAAACAGCAATGTAAAGATTCATCACATTTTTAAAAGGAAACATGTGAGATGTATGGGACACGTGTCTCAGTTGCGGTAACCCTACATCGAAACTATCCTAGCGATTTGAAGTAAGTGTATCACGCATGAGCTGTCAGTGTTATTCAACCTATCTCCTGGTCAATTATCAAATTCATGTTTTGTCAACCTTTCACTGATAAAATTTTCTTGTTCACCTGTGAAAATACCGGCCCTGGCATGACCTGTTTAACAAGCTATGAAATCGTGTCCTACCTCCATTGTCAATATATATATATATATTTGTTGTATCTGTTAGACGAGGGGCTGAAGCCCAAGTCTTTTTCATGAATTAAATATCTGTTCTGATAACTTTGCTCTGTGTTGAGACTGTCAACCAACTGGTTTTTCTACCTGAGGGATCACACATCATTCGCGTTCACTTTGAGAGCCTAACCTCTTGCCAAGCACTTGATTTTCTACTGTTACGTGCCAGGCAAGCGTGAAAGCTCCTTTGTCCCTGGTATTGCTGATATTGCGTAGAATGCCATACAAGAGTGCCTTATGTATACTGTCGCGTCAGTTGTGCGGAAATAGGGTGATCGTATATCTCGTTCAATGTCATTAAAGTTAGATATTTTACTTCTATGCCATAAGTGAATATCTGACTGGGGTTCGAGGCAGGGGAACTCGGGACGATCTTTTCCCGAAAAAAATGAAACAAGGGTGCTTGAGTGATTGAGCCAAACAGAAGTTTGATTGCTCTGGATTTAAAAAGTCAAAGCAAGAAGTCCTTGATTTTACTGTAACTCGTTTTCAAAATATGTGTCTGAGAATAAAATTATTCTTAAATACCCCAAATATTGTCATGTGTGAAACCGTAAATACGGTAATCAGTAACAGATTTAACAGATTAAAACTATTCAACAGATGAAAGCCTGTCAATTTTCAGTTTCTGGGATCGTGGGTATATTATTCGTCTGAGGCGTTTTGGGATTAAACAGAAAAAAATATGACGAAAAGAGCTTTTTCGTGCAGATCAAGAATCAATGTGAAAACGTCTGGCCACAAATATATTTATGTTTATACTTACCTCCACCATTTCTGTTACAGAAGTAGGGAAATCTCCAAAGATTCCCTAAGCCCACACAATATCCAACCAAAGACAGGAAAAAATCCATTTGGTTAGACCACTTGGCTCTTCCATTGTCGCTGACGTCGACTTCAGTCGTAGTGTCGTCGTCGCATTCCTTGCCGTTGATGTCCGACATGGGGATGCCCCCCTCAACACAGAGCTTCTGATCCATTTGCCTTCTTGTGTTGTCTGTGGTGTGGAGCGGTTACTGTGCTCAGCAGGTGTCTGGACTGGCTTTGGTACGCCTACGTGGGCTATAAAAAGCATTCCCTATATGGTAAACAAATGACATTGGGCCAGTTATGGGCATTGGGTGTGTTTTCCGAGATTTAAGCATAAAACTTCAACGTAGGACTCGATATCCACTGGAACAGATTCTACTGTATGTAAAATATACAATGGTGAAACCTGGATGAAACTAAACATACATGGACCACCGAATATCCATGATAATCACGTGATGAGGAGCGATATGTGTTCATGCATATAAATGTATAGAGGTTATCACGCGTGTGTGTTTGGTGATGATAAATATCCTAATTAGGAAAAAAATATATATATACATAAACACATATCTATATACATATGAACCTATATCGCGCCCTGGTCTAACCCTAGTCTATGAGACGTCACGTTTGTGGACAGAGTCTGCATGACCTGTCATAACGTTACGAAGTGCAGTCAGATGTACACACAGCAACAAAACGAAACAAGGTAACAATTCGCTCATATTTCGGCAAAATCCAACTGTTTTTGTTCGGGGAAAACGTTCAACAAGCACAGATGTGGAAACTGATCCTGCTAGACTAGTCCCCTCGCTAAATGGTTTCGCAATTTATGTCTCCAAAGTTTCCCAAACTTGTAAAATGCCTTCGCTACGTCACAGTTAGACGCTGATATTCGGTATATTAGAATCTTCTTCTATTGTTTGCAATTATCCCAATAGTTCTCCAGACTCGCCGAATGGGAAAAAGTCCCTACTTGACCTTTGACATTTGCATCTCCATCCGAATATGACCCCAACGGATATCGTTTTTATCTGTTGGTTTTATCCTGCCGAGAAACGGACCCATTATATGATAAATAGTATTACGTTGATAAGCCTTCGAGAAGTCACTCCATATAACAGAGTCTGTGAATTGAGTTCGACATCCAGAGAACCCGCGGAAGTTCATACAAACTGTCCTACAATGTTAATCCGATTAATAAATTTGTTCAAATCAGTATTTTGAAAGAAATACTAACTTAATAATCGTAGAACTTATTTGTTAACGCTGTTTGTCATGAGACGAAGGCAGTAGCATCTGAGACTATATGTAATGAATATGTAATTCATTAAGCAATTATCATTTGGCAAACTGAATTTCCAGTTCATCTCGCCCTACTCAACAACACCCTACATATAATATCAGCAAAAGAAAGCAAGGTTCAATTTTTCAAAGTGAACCTTCCCTGTATTTCGAGGAGCTCACTACATTACACAACCTTCCGAGTTACAATCGAGCATCCTCGGGTAGCCTAGTGGTTAAATCGTTCGCTCGTCACGCCGAAGACCCGGGTTCGATTCCCGACATGGGTACAATGTGTGAAGCTCATTTCTGGTGTCCCACGCCGTGATATTGCTGGAATATTGCTAAAAGCGGCGTTAAACCATACTCACGCGAACACCTGGTATCATCACTATTTGATAGTGATTCATAAACACATGCTCATGATATACTTAGAATCGTACAATCGGTTCTACTTTGGCAGTGATGTCTAAATGATAATGGAAAGAGGCTTGTTGTAATGGAATTCAGAATGTTGAAACATTAAGCAATCACCATAAGAACTAGGTAAGGTGAGGAGAAATTGGGTTTAACGTCGCGTCCAAGATTATAGTACTTATATAGCAACGTGCATGCGACGTGTGTGTGTGTGTTGCTGCTTGTACTAGTCCGGACTGATGCCGATTTATAGTGCTAGCACACTGAGATACCATGCCGCAGTTTAACATGAATACCCCACTCAGACCTAGTATACTGACTCCGAGCCGACCAGTCCTTGTTTTAGCCCCTTAATGCCGAGCGCCAGACAGGGTAACAACAAGTACCATCTTTTAACGTCTTTTGGTATGACGCGGACGGGATCGAACCCCGAACCTTCCGATCCGCTCTCCGGGCGGACGCTCTACCACTAGACCACGGAGGCGGTCCCCATAAGAACTAAAAGGGAAGATGCAAACCTATTGTGTAATAAGGAAGGGTGTATTCTAGCAACGTGGTCACACTCGATCAGTTCAACAGTTGCACTTTCAAAAATAAAAAATGATATGGCCTTCACGGACTTCTGCAATGAACGCATCCCTTCTTCTGATATGTTATTAAACATGATAACGGTACAAACGGACCCCTGTTCACAGAAATAAAATGCCGCTAATATATTAATTTGGAAAATTCTTATTGGCTGCCATGGCTCATGTCACATATTCGTTGAGGGCTCTAATTTTAGGCAACGGGGCTTGTGTGTGGTCTGGCATTGTGCTCTCACTGGTCGGATTTCATCTAAGTGGGTGACACCGTATTTGTGTAGGCCTAATGTTGGCTATTCATATATTCTGCCTATTCAACTAGTGAGCTTCGTGTGTTACTTCACCACTGGCATGTGTGTATCACTATTCACGAGGGATTGAAATCTCGTAAACTGGCATTTCAATAATAACGAACCAGGTGTATAGTAATATGCACAGGAGTTCCTAGTAATACTTGACAGAAAGTAGCGGTCTAGAGTCCGTTTCACAAAGCGCTTGAGCGCTAAGGTGATCGTAACTCCAACACTTTAACATACACTTACGACAGTCGTAGCGCAAAGGTAGCTTTGTGGAATGGACCCACGAGCGCTAAGGTGATCGCAACTTCCTCACTTTAACATACGCTTACGACAGTCGTAGTGCTAAGATAGCTTTGTGGAACGGGGTTCAGGGTTCAGATTTTACGTCGAGTCGGGTATTTTTCAGTACCCATTACCAACTTGGAGGTTGTGAGACATCTGGTCAGTTGAACATTTCTCAGTGTATCACTTTCAGTTCCCCCCCAAAATTATATAAAATGAGATGAGGCTGGTGAATTCGTTTGAGAAACATACCTTATGAGATATGAAAGACAGACTTTCATGTCTTCTTTTGATGGCATTTAGCAGTTGGTATGATGGACAAGGGAGATAGTTCCATGGATATACAACTTCTTTATTACAATGAATGTGGCGTCTCGGTGTAGAGAATATCCCCGTTATCAAGCAAGTGACGTGCAGACTTAAAAGTAGAAAGGTGGATTGTTGATGTTTATACAAGGTTGAATGATGATAGATTGACACATGTTTGAAAGGTGTAAGCTGCACCTGAAATTTACGCCCACGGTCACGTGAAGTTGTGTTTTCAACATATTTGTTTCATAATGAAATTGATTGGCAAACAAGCCAGTGGTTTATCTAAGACAGCTCCAATTGAAAAAAACATGAAAATGTTGCATGACAAACCGACTGCAGACAATTAATTTATATATTGTCTCACATCAGATAGCACTTCAATACTATCAGTTAAGCAATAATATAATTATTAGATTATAAGTAAATAATTGAAATGTCAGACCGTATTGATTAATTAAATCTATCACATTCTGGGATAAATGCATGTACAGATTGAATTATTTCTGTGTTGCTGGACAGAGTTATCAACATGGCCATATTAAGCACTTTCCATATCATATCCATGTGTAAAATGATGCATGTCATTTCTAATGATGGCGTAATTTGGACACACACATGGTACGTTCATAAGTAGCTCCACAAGAGCAGGATAGATACATTTCAAATGTTCCATCAGTTTTATGTGAAGTTAAATCGCTACAACCTAACCTGGGTCGAGAATGTATCACCTGGCAAAATCGGTTTCCGAAATTGATGTCAAATCCAAAATTATGCCCTAATTTCGGAGTGATTTTGCCTGTCGAACCCCTTAAAGATTGTATTGATTAATTATATATATATTTTGGTAACGAGTTGCAGGATAGATTTTACATACGATGTTGTCCTTGCTTAATATGTTCTCATTCTAAAGAAGTTCTTATTTAATAAGGGTTACCCGAAACACAACCAGTAACAATATAACCCAAATACGAGGGAGCTTTATCGTGGACTTATTCTATGAAAGAGTTTCAACTTCCGTGTACGTCTCTTTTCATCCAGGGGTTTAAAAATAGTTTCGGCATATAATTTACTATGACTTGTACCCCTTGTTGCCCCACATATTATTCTTAAACCATGAAGTTGTAATGTTTCCAGAACTGTTTTCTGGGCAATCATAAATTATCCCATATGTATTGTTTGTTTGTTCTTTTGTTGCTTAACGCCGCACTCAGCAATATTACAGCTATATGGCGGCGGTCTGTAAATAATCGAGTCTGGACAAGACAATCCAGTGATTGACATCATGAGCATCGATCAACACAATTGGGATACGGTGACAAGCATCAACCAAGTCAGCGAGCCTGACCACCTGATCCCGTTAGTCGCCTTTTATGGCAAGCATGGGTTGCTGAAGACCTATTCTAACCCGGATCTTCACGGGTCTATCCAAAATGTAACTAAAACGTAACTACAACAATCAAAGAGCGGTAATGTAAAAGGTTTATACATAATTTGGAGGGTTTCCCTTGATAAACGGGGGCACGGGTGGCCCAGTCGTCTAAGGCGCCGCGAATAGCTGTGCAGAGTTGCGTTCGTTAGACACGCCAGAAACCTATGATTATGGGGTCGAATCCCGGTTCGCCACGATTATGTTTCTAGATTTGTCAGCACCATACCCGTGCTCGTGGGTTTCACCGAAGTGGTAAACGTCTGGGACCTACATCACTTGGGGATTTCCTCCCACATTAAGGGCTGACACGCCGCGATATAACTGCAATGCTCAAAAACGGCGTTAAACCCAACTCACTCTCACTCCTTGATAAACGATATTCAAAACTCCTCAGACAATTAACCATCGGGTTGACCCTTACCACATGATATCTAAATGAACATTCCAAATTGGGTTTTTTAAAACATTTAACCCAGGTGTTTATGTCTGCCTATATAAGTTATAGGAATATTTTGCATAAACAATTGGGGTTTCTGACAAATATGACGTTTTTTAACAGGACTGTATTGTTTCTGTTTCCCACTGAATTAAACTTACATGCCATTGATCTATCAACAGTGAAACATTTTCTAGATCATCATTTAGACGCGTTGCTGTAGTAATTTGGTCATCGATTATTGCATATAATGAAGCATCGTCCGCAAAAGTCGCACATTACAATCATTCTTTATTATCAACAAGACCATTTATTCCGAATTACATGTATATCCGTCACTTTATTTTTTAACTCTATTATGAAGATAGCTATCAAACCAGTTCAATAGATTA